GGGGGGGCTGCTTCTATTTCATTTAGCCTGTTGACAACCTGCTGTAGATTTCCTGTTGATATTTTCAATGACATCATTCTATTGTTGTATTGTTTCAATCTGTACAGTGGGGGGGGGGGGGGGGGGGGGGGTGAAAGAGAATCTGATGTGACAGTGGGTCACACTACTCTCTGACTGTGTGACAGATGGAGGGTTCTGGAAGTCCACGCTTCAGGAAGCTGCATTTCCCAGTGGGTCTGTGGATCAACTCGCCCAGAAAACACTTGGCCAAACTTGGGGGGCGCTGGCCCAGCGCCCTGTCTGTCAAGTCAGTTTGAAGTTTTAAAGGTGCTGTCAGGTGTTGGTCCGTCCTAACTCACAGCTGACGCGTTGCTTCCTTTTCCTCCTCTGGTGTTGCCAGGTCGACCACCAGCTCTGACGCTGCCTCCCTCCACGAGGCCCCCTCCGCTCCTTCGTCTTCCCTTTCCAACTCCACCCTTTCGCTGGCTTCCCCTGCCCCGTCTCCGTCTCCCTCGCCGGCCTTCCTCAGGCCTCGGCCGGCAGGTCCACAGTCTCGTGCAAAGCGTCTTTCCCATCTCTTCCTGCGGGGGCGCTCCAACAGCGACCGAGACCGGGCGGTGGGAGAGCGGGAGAGAGAGTTTTGGGCCCATTCAGCTGCCCCCTCTTCACACCATTATCTGCCCCCGGCCTCCTCCTCAGCCCCGGGGCTGATCAAAATCTATGGCGATGCCCTGTCCAGTGGAGCCAACTATCGCTCCCTGCTGGCCAACGTCCACTCAACAGCCAGGCAGCTCATCTCCCAGGTCATCATTGCCGATATTTATTTTGGCAAACGACTTTGTGTGAACTCCAGTGGTCCAGAAACACAGCCCCGAGGACTTCCTGTTGTGTGACGTCATCGGAAAGCCCATCCAGCAACCAGACGGAGCCGTCACCTGGGAGACGGAGTGTCGGAGGAGCGTTGCCCCGTGGGAATGTCCCTTGTTGTTAGTGGACATGTGGCGGCCCAAGGATGGATTCGAGCGGCGCTTTGAAATTCAAAGAAGGGAGGACTACGAGAGAGAGGAGAAGGAACGGGAGAGAGAGAGGGAGAAAGAGGGGGAGAGCCACCAAGGTACGTACACGCCCAGCACTGACCCACAATGACAGTGACGCAGTCAAACTGACCCCCACCCTGGGTGTCTGCCTGGGGAGCAGGTGTGCGCTGGCGGCGTGGCAGGATTTCATCAGGGGGGGGGGCGGAGGAGAGCGAGCGAGGTCACAGGGGAAGGAACAGCGAGCTCCGGAGGAGCATCAGCGACATGAACCTCAGTCTGAGGCGTCGTCAAGGCAACCACGTCAGCGGTGACCCGCAGGGCGATAACGGCAGAGGGTCACAGGACAGGAAGAACGCTGTGAGCATGATGAGCCCACAGGGGGAGGTAAAGAGGAGCAGCAGCAGCCGTGGAGCAGCAGGAGTTCTCCTCCTCCTCCTCCTCCTCATCTTCATCGTGTCCTAACGTGCCATTACAGGTTAGGGCGTCGAAGGTTCAGGCCAAGGTTGGGTGGACCCACCAGCCGCTGGAGGATGAAGGAGATGACTCCACCTGTGACCTGGAAGTGATGTCACAGAGTTTAATTCTTCCACCCACAGACAAGCCCTACTTCCTGCTGCTGCAGGGATACGACCAGAGCAAGGTACGACACGTCGGATGATCAAATCACGCAAACAAACACCCACACACACACACACACACAGACAACAGGAAGGACAGTGATGTCTGTACAGTCTCCATGGAGAGATGAACAGTCCGGGGTGGGGGGGGGGGGCGGGTCGCAGGGGGGGGGGGAGGGGGGGGGGGGGGGAAGGGGGGGGGGGGCTGGGGGCGGGGCTTCACTGTAAAACCCCACTTCTCCTCTGAAGCGTCCACAGTTTGATATATGTGAAACCCCTGAAGTGTGTGGCGCGGTGGTGCGGTGGATTTGAGGATCAGCAGTGTGTGAGCACACACACACACACACACACACACACCCTGGGTGGAAATGACATCACACCTGCATGTCTGTAATCGCTACATACCATCAGGACATCCACACAATCAGCACAAAGAGCAGCACCTTGTCTCAACAACATCTCCAGGGCCGGCACCA